AGAGTAACTTAGGCTATTTCTACATCCCCCCCCCCCCCCCCCGAAACATGCCCCATTCTTTCTCAAGCCTTGTTCTTAAGATATGGCAGTCACCACGCAGCGTTGCCATAATACCTATTCTTCTGTGGATATGGCAGGCGCCATGTAGAATAGCACCCAGTCTCCTATAGTCGAGAGCTGAATGATTCATTTACCAGCATCTGGCCCTGAGCCTAGTCTCTAGCACACATTCATTCACTTCTAAGTGACCTAATAGCCAATGACACATTTTGCATTGAAGATAATCCTCTTCTGAATCCAAGGGTTTGCGAACTGGTCTCTTTCTCTCTCTCTCTTAACCCTTTCATTATGGACGGTGCTCGAGGAGTTTGGGCCGTAGTTGTGAGTGCTCTGACAGCTGGGAAACTGTGGAATTCAACAAATTTTGTTTATGGATATTGACAACAGAGGTCTCTGGCGGCCTATTTCCTGCGTTTGAAAATATTCGCGCCTCAGTATTCTCTCAGCTGTCGCGGGGAATGTGTGTTAATTGACCTTCTGTAAATAGCTTTGCGGGGAAGACAGTCGCCCTACGTGACGAGGATAATGGTGGTTAGTCTACTGTTTCAGTGATTGTTCGGCCACTGCGGACGACGAGTTTGCTTCATTGTTAAGCGCGTGACAATAACAGAATTTAATACTGTCAATAGACGTGCTATAAAGAAAGTGCAGTCGAGTAGTGTCGTGAATTTATTCCTTGTTTGCGAAGAGAACAAGCAGGAGGACACATAAATGAAAGTAAAGATTGTAAACAAAAGTGCAGTGCATAGTGCCGGGAATGATTTACCCTTGATTACGAGGGCATAAACGTATCCGTGGTTGTTTAAGATTCCCTACCTAGAACAAAAAGTTCCAAATAGCACAGGCTATGGTGAGCCCGTAGTGGACTTGGTATCCGTGGTGCTATCGAGCTGTTAGGTGGCGTCCCATCACCTGAAGGACCCCGGCGTCCCATCACCTGAAGGACCCCGGCGTCCCATCACCTGAAGGACCCCGGCGTCCCATCGCCTGAAGGACCCCGGCGTCCCATCACCTGAAGGACCCCGGCGTCCCATCACCTGAAGGACCCCGGCGTCCCATCACCTGAAGGACCCCGGCGTCCCATCACCTGAAGGAACCCGGCGTCCCATCACCTGAAGGACCCCGGCGTCCCATCACGGCCCTTCCATCAGGTGTGGCAAGTACTGATATTTTATATTCTCTTTTCATATTAAATAAATTTTTCCCCAGGTGCATATCAAATATTTATTTAGATTCGGTTTAGTAATATTTTTGACGAAGCCTATTGTGAGTTATATAAACCATATATAATATTTTTTTGTATTAGGCTTGGGAACAGTATAGTAAATCTTTAGGTACGAAATATCTCTCGTGTTCCAACAGACACAGATTGTATTCCTGAACTAAAACAGGAATACAATAGTGGGTTACCCATGATTCCTACACAATGTATGAACATATCTTCTAATGTTCATAGCTATCTGTTTGTTCTAAACATATCTGTTTAGCATACCTTCTAATGGTAGAAGGTATGCTAAACAGCATCTGAGATAAAGAATAATATAATATTGGCATAATGAGGAATATCCTCGTATCCTTAGTGAAGTTGTTTATCTAATGGTAGAAGTTAACAATTAGGAATATCATAACATAATATAGATTTGCCGTGTTTAAACTGCCGCTAAAGAAATTATATGTATACATACTGTGAGGTGAAAAGGTTCTTGTTATAATTTTACGAGATTACAGTAACATGATGTGCAATATTGTCATACTAAATATAGTTGTGGTTGGGATTTTCCACATATCCTTGGGACTCTGTTGCATATATTCATGTTGACTGTATTGTGATATTACCTGCCCAGCCTCAGGCGACGCTCTTCCAAAGATGCAGTCGTTAATTTTAATGTACCGTGTAACCAAATCTACAGTTTCTGAAATATAAATTAATATTAATTAGTGTGTAATATATTTTTATGTATAGTTAGGGCCTAGGATAAGTTAAGGTTAGGTTTGTTAGTTCTGAGGGCAATTATATGTATATATTTGAAGCTCGTGGGTGGTTATCTTGAGATGATTTCGGGGCTTTAGTGTCCCGCGACCCGGTCCTCGACTAAGCCTCCACCCCCAGGAAGCAGCCCAACTCCCAGGTACCTATTTACTGCTAGGTAACAGGGGAATCAGGGTGAAAGAAACTCTGCCCATTGTTTCTCGCCGGCGCCCGTGATCGAACCCGGGACCACAGGATCACGCGTGCAGTGTTCTGTCCGCTCAGCCACCGGCTCACCACCGGGTGAAGCATTTATATATATGCGCGATTCCAACAGAAGTCGTCAATGAAACACTGATCCAGAAATGTTCGAACGTTATCAGATGTGAGTCGTGTGTAAAGTGTTTTTCATTCATAAACAAGGGGTTTGGCAGCTGGATTAATGAGCATTTGGCCTTTGTTTTTGACAGGCTGAGTATCATACATTAAGTCTTGCTAATATTTAGGGAAAGCCTATTGACAACAAACTATTTAGGAAGTTTTATCTAATTCTGTAATTAACGTGTTGTAATGTAATGTCACAGTTTTTGACTGTGATATATAAAGTATTGTCAACAAAAAAGTATGGTTTAGTCATTGTCGAAACTTTGCAAATATCATTTGTGTAGGGTTGATAAGAGAAGAGGTCCCAGAGTTGTATTGAACTTGAATAGTAGTATTATATGGGTGAGTCATATGCTCTATTCGATATAGAAAGAAATCATTTGGGGGTTTCACTGTGGTCGGAACAATTAAAACATTCCTCCTTTTTTATGGGAGGAGGAAATTCCTACTTTCCCATCTCGTCAAAAGCAAAATAGTGAAATAATAAGCAAAAGTCTATTCCCTGTATATCATTATGTAGCTTAGTAAGATTTCTTAATGTTATCCTTGTGTTAGGAGGCTACGAAAAGAAAATACCATTTTCAGCGTCTAGCACCCACATTATAATAGTTATTTTTTTGCTTACAATAAATGTTAATTTCCTTATTATTTGTTGTTTGTTTATGTAATTTCACGAGAAAAAAGTATTTTGTTTAAGAGTAATTTTTTTTTTGTTAATGCAGTGGACCTGCAGGTTAACCAAGCTTTTCTCTGCCTCTCACTGTGGAAACTCAAGGTTTGGATTAGAAGCGAGGCAACTGTTGCCCTTGACCGGTCTTCACTCACTTAGAATTCACCTAAAAAAACTCGTCGCATAAATTTAACATTTGATGCAACAGTATATCTCTCTCCATACTCAGTGATTCATCTTTCAGAAGATAAAGCAGTGAATGTTTCATTGTTCTCTCCTTTTTAACAATCCGAGGTTTTGAGTATTACTCATTGGATGTTTTGACGTTATCCTGCTTCATAATAAGTGTCACAGTTACGTCATGGTAAATATCCCCTCCCAAAAAACCTGGTATCAATGATTCATTGATTTTAAGCTGACCTGTATGTTGTAGCTAATGTGGAATGACCCCCAGACACCGGTCAGAGTATCCTCTGGTTTGGCTGACTTATCTTGCTGAGGGATTTTCTCTAAGGAGATCTTTTCTTCTGGACACACAATAAAAAAATATGACTATAAATAAATAGGACAATGCTAGGCGCAAGTTATTTTTTTTTTAAGAACACTAAGCAGTGTTCTTGTTAACAGGCTGGAGAGAGATGCAACACTCTCCTCTTTCTTCTAGGGGAGAGTGACGAAGATCTATTGCTCCCGGCTGCCTATTGTGTTTAATGCACAATTAATTGATTCTCTTTAATAAAGCTAATTGAGGTCCAGTACATTAGTAACGGAGGTTTCGATTGTAATTTCCTTTGATTGTTAATTAATAATAATAATACAGATAATTCATTCGTTTTTAAATACTTTTTAATAAACTGAATTTACGGCTAATAATTTAGCTGAGCAGATTTCTGAAGATTAAGTAATGATTCAAAAATGGGAAACACGTTGGAGTTTCTTCAACTTTTCACACACATACATTTTCTAGTTTCGATGTCTATCTGTTTACTTCCTTCTACTAAACATTATTCTTGAGGCATTGCGATAGCTATTAGAGGAGTTTAATAAATTTAGTGCAATTTATGTGTGAAAAGATAAGTATGGTCATCGTGTAGCTGTTAACACGCGCTTAAATTCCATCAACTTTAAACACCTACAATGCGGGAAACTTTGAATGCGTGGCTGTTCTGGAGTCGCGTAGGCCATGATAGGACTTATGTTGGATATTTGAATATGTTCTATAGTTGGAAAAACTCTAAACTCCACTACGGGCTCACCATATCCCGTGCTACTTACAACTTTTTGTTCCAAGTAGCTGAATCTAAAACAACAACAACATAGCATTTACAATTGTTTTGTACAATTATTTTCTTTCTTATTTTTAGGATTAATTATTTTCTCTAAAAAATTAAACAAGTCTAAGGGAAATGGCCCCCATATAAATATAACACCTGAAGGCTTAATACTACACATGTGCAGGCGATGAGTCACAATAACGTGGCTAAAGTATGCTGACCACACACTAGAAGGTGAAGGGACGACGACGTTTCGGTCCGTCCTGGATCATTCTCAAGTCGACTTGAGAATGGTCCAGGACGGACCGAAACGTCGTCGTCCCTTCACCTTCTAGTGTGTGGTCTGGTCAACACTACACATGTATTCTGAGATGGAAAGATAACGAAGCAGGTTCATGAAATGTTTAGTTTAATCATTGTGTTTGCAAATTACATTCTACATGAATGTCTTTTAATGTTATATTATTGTGGTTCCAGTTCCTGTAGAGTGATAATGTGAGTTTGTTTAACATATTATATATTATATTTGATGATATTTAGCACTTTGTTAATATCAGGCGTCGTCTGACGAAGAAAATATGATACAGACAAAACACTATTTAATATTTAATTTGTTAAGATAAGGACAATATATGAAACGAAATATACTTTTCATTTTATTGAGATGGATTTTGAGAATATATCCCAAAGGACCTCTAAAAGCCTCTTATATGGCATTTGTTATATTATGTCAAGCTTGGTTGTTGGTTCCCGTGAATCAAGATGGTTAGGCTACTTTGCCTCACTATGGCCAGGAGCCTAGTGAGAAGCCTTATCAACAACACCAAACTCCACCATATCATCCAACACACTACACATCCATGTCACCAGAGGAGGGTATCGGGCCACCATACTTTTGATCTTCTCCTCCCGCTGCTTCATCCACTCCTCCCCGACCTGGGTGAAGTCTGGCATGTCGCTTGCGTCGACCAGAGTAGTGGGCAGGACAGAGGCGGCCTGCATCAGGCCAAATATGTTTCTCTTGTGGTACTCCTGCAGGAGCGCGTCGTAGGTGAAGGGGAGAGCGGCGTCCCGTGCCTTCATGACACTGGTGAAGGAGGCGAAGTAAGCATGCAGGAGGTGGCTGAAGCTGGCTGACCTGACCTCTCCGCTGATGCTCGAGTAAACGACGGTGTTGAGGTCGAGGGCCGGTGATCCTCGACGACACCACTGCATGTCGACGAGAACAACATCAATGGGACGACCTGATTCGTCGTATCTGTGGAGGCAAAGATCACGTCACGACCGGCGTCAAAGCTCTGATTTAACCTGATGCATCCGGTTAATAGTTATATGCAACAAGCATTTTCGATAATTTGTTGACATAAAACATTCTTGTCACGAACATCACATCCGAGCTAAAGTATTTTACAGTAAATCACCACTTTTTGCATTTTGGCAACTGAAGTGTCTATTGTGAAAATAATGAGGGTACATGTATATGATTTCTCCATTTTCAAGTGTTCAGAGAGGCACCCCCATCCCCATGCAAGTTAATTTTAAGTAATGTTCTTTCTCTGTTGTGTGAATTTATGTTCCTCAAAGTTAAAATAATATGAAACGGTGAACGTATCCCCCTTAGTTCGTAAATGTATTTGTGAACGTGTCGGTGAACTTATCCAATCTATCATAATCTATCTGGTGCCACTGTCGGACTGTGTGTGTGTATTTATCTAGTTGTGCTTGCGGGGGTTAAGCTCTGTTGTTTCGGCCCGCCTCTCAACTGTCAATTAATCATTGTATGTGTGTGTGTGTGTGTGTGTGTATTCACTACTTGTGCCCGCAGAATCCAACTGCTAGCTCTTGGACCCCTTGATTCTAACTGTCGGTTGTCTAATGTATTGACTCCCGACCTATGGGTAAGGCTCGCCTCAAGTTTGGCCGCCAACCTTCGAAAACCGTAGATGTTTTCTCTTATATAGTTGTTTTATGTAACCAATAAAGAATTATTGCCAGAGCTCTTGGAGACACAGTAGATCATGTTATGTGTAATGAACTGTTATATGTGGTTTGTATTATTAAATATTGGTATAGTTATAGTTATTCTTTATACCTCATAATTTGACTGAACATTCTAATGTTTATTATTAATATTTGTTATCCTGATTGCAAGTGTTGTTACAATTATAATTCAATATAGCGTGGCTCACCTGAAGAGAAAGTTGCCAGTCCAACAGTCTCCATGACACAGGACAGCAAACGGATCCTGCGACTTGATCTGCTCCTTGAAGACATCCATAATCCTGGGAGCCAGAGCCTTCAGCCAAGTCAGGACCTCTTCATATCCATCGACTGTCTCGACTGCTTTCACTAGAATGTTGATGTCGTTCTGCATCACCTGGCCAATTTCCCTCTCAGCCCCCTTGGAGTAGTTAGACCAGTCCTTCGTCAGGAAGGAGTATTCCTCCGCCAGGTTTCCAGATGGGAGTTTGGTCTGAAGAAGGTAGGAGGCGGCATGAAGCCTTGCGAGCTCCAGGAAGACCAGTTCGGCATGGGCGGCATCAAGGCCATTTTTACGATCAACCATTTTGAACCCAAGTTGGGTGACGTCCTCCATAATGAGCACCTCAGCATTCTCCTCCAGACTGTGGAAGTTGTACCGAGGAAGTCGTAAAGGCTCTAGGTTGGCAGACTTTAGTTCAGCATTGAGCAATGGCACAAGCATACTGTAGAACAGACACTCTTTCTCAAATGCCATGTTAGCAAAATCTTTCATGCCATTCACAAATTCTTGCTTAGCTTTCACGACGTATGCCACCTCGAGGTTCTGGCCATCCTGAGAGAAAGACACATTGAGACGGTTCACAGTGCACATAAAGTTGTCGCCCTTCTTAGTGAACTCTTCAGTGGTCCACGAGATCAGGGTGGTCCCACTGCCCTTGTCCTGCCTCAGAGCTGCCTTCACCTGTGCCTCTGTCACCTGATCTAACTTTTCTTCCACCTGCAACTTTTGGCATACTGGATCTGCCTGGTGACTACCATTCCCAACAACACCAAACTCTATCATATCATCGAGCGTACTACACATCCACGTCACCAGAAGAGGGCATCGTGTCACTATAGTTTTGATCGTCTCCTCCCGCTGCTTCATCCACTCCTCCCCCATCTGGGTGTAGTCTGGGGTGTCGTCTGCCTCGACCAAAGCGGTTGGTAGATAGGCAGCGGCGACCAGCAGGCCAAATATGTTTCTCTTGTGGTACTCCTGCAGGAGCGCGTCGTAGGTGAAGGGGAGAGCGGCGTCCCGTGCCTTCATGACACTGGTGAAGGAGGCGAAGTAAGCATGCAGGAGGTGGCTGAAGCTGGCTGACCTAACCTCTCCGCTGATGCTCGAGTAAACGACGGTGTTGAGGTCGAGGGCCGGTGATCCTCGACGACACAACTGCATGTCGACGAGAACGACCTCAATGGGACGACCTGATTCGTCATACCTGTGTAAACAAAGATCACGTTATGACTGGAGTTAAGACTCTCATATTTAACGTAATATATCCAGGCTCGGTATTTTACTGGAAATCTCTCAGTCCACATTTTGGTTAATGGACATGTTATCGTGTTACACATTAACGGACATTCAATGATTTTACTGCACATTATCCTGCTTCTCGAAGCTGTTCCTAATTCTTGTTATTGTGCAACAATGGTCCATTGTTCTACAGCTGTTCAGTGAGTTTCTTTAACAAAATTCAAAATAATATGACCATTCAGCATCATCAAATCAGCTCTTGTCATTCACTGCCCCACAAGTCACTTTACAGCATGGCACGAATATCCATATATTTTCTAATGTATTTAAAACACTGTTGTTTTATATAGAAATACACTTAACCCCAAGCTAGTAAATCGCCAATTCATCTTATAGCTTTAGTATATGTATGGTACGAATACAGTCCAATCTACAGCCTCCAGGCCCTTGTATTACACGTAAAATACACCCAAATAAAATAAAAAAAAGCCCCAAAACCTCAAATAACCTCATAATCAGTCCTATTTCCTTGGAACAACCCCAGTCCTTAATCACATGTAACCTTACCTCAGTACCGGTTGACCACCGGTTCCCACAGAGGAAACCGGGTTCTGGGAAGTGTGAGACACTTCAGGTGAGTGTTGTTGCTGTGACAACACTTCACCTCCACTATGACCACTGTGGGCCCTGTCATCTGCTAACTGGTGATAATGCTTGCAGAGGATGTCAGGGGAAAAAGTAAGATCCCTGTATTTTATAGCTAAATGTTTGTAAATATAGACAAATTCCATTCAAGTTACTAACTTAGGAATCTTTATTGTTTGTACTTCAATTAAGTTTGATCTTGAGCAAGTTAAAGTAAATTTCTCCAGAGTGTCAGTTCTTCCTCGTTTCCAATTATTATTATTATCCCTTGTTTTCCCCTGTTATTATTGTTATTATTCTTGGCCCTTGTGCTTATGATCACTTCTGTCCGTGTAGTTTACGGTGCGGCAGAGTGAGTAAGGTTATCTTGCTCCCATTTCCAGAAACCAGTAGTTAAAGCGGGTAGTAAGGCACGAATAACTCGCGGTGACATGACAGTTAGTGAAGGTCTTCCTAGTTATTACTTCCTATTTATGCATATGCTATTGAGTCATTCAGGCCTAACCCCCTCACCCTGCTCCCTCCTTCCCATTAAAGAACGTGGCACTCTTTACATACAGTCGTTAATGTGGCACTCATTACCAACTGCCATTAGAGTGGCACTCATTACCAACAGCCGTTAGAGTGGCACTCATTACCAACAGCCGTTAGAGTGGCACTCATTACCAACAGCCGTTAGAGTGGCACTCATTACCAACAGCCGTTAGAGTGGCACTTATTACCAACAGCCGTTAGAGTGGCACTTATTACCAACAGCCGTTAATGTGATCCCCTCTTGTTATGGGGCCAGGCTTGTACTTTACCTCAGACGTGTTGTAGCGTGGCAACAAGAATGTTTTATGTCAACAAATTATCGAAAATGCTTGTTGCATATAACTATTAAGAATGATAGCCAGAGAGTAGTTAGGGGCACTGTAGTGTAGATGGTGTTAAGGGTAATACGCAGCTGTATGTGGCTTGTGTTATTAAATAGTAAATCAATACTAAATGAGGTACCCAGTAGGGCCTAGGGCAACCCCCAAAAGGTTGCTCCATGGGGGGGGGGTCGAACCTTCACTAACGTCATTTTTGCGTGTTAATAGTGCTTTAAAACCTCTTTAACTACCGGTTTTTAGATAATGACCCCGACCCACTGATGTCAGTCACCTTTCTCCCCCACACTAGTCACCCTGCAAAAACATCTCGGGCCGGATTCACGAAGCAGGTACGCAAGCACTTACGAACCTGTACATCTTTTCTCAATCTTTGGCGGCTTTGTTTGCAATTATTAAACAGTTAATGAGCTCTGAAGCACCAGGAGGCTGTTTATAACAATAGCAACAGTTGATTGGCAAGTTTTCATGCTTGTAAACTTTAATAAATGTAACCATAGCCGTTAAATATTAAGGAAAGATATATATGTTCGTAAGTACTTGCGAAACTACTTCGGGAATCTGCCCCCTGGCCTCCAACTTGGGACACACAGAAATGCTGTTTGACAGATATAGATTGGTAGAGTTCAGGTTAATCCTTATTTGATGGCTCAGCTCGTGGTAATGAGAACCACCAACATTGTAACGTTTATGAACAATGTTGTTTTATCATTGTACTGTTATATCACAGGTCCAGCAAAGGCTTTTATGCATTTTTTAAGAAACAAATTATAATTAAACATGGCGTGGCTCACCTGAACAGGAAGTTGTTAGTCCAACAGTCTCCATGACAGATGACAGCAAACGGATCCTGCGTCTTCATCTGCTCCTTGAAGACATCCACAGTCCTGGGTGCCAGAGCCTTCAGCCAAGTCAGGACCTCTTTATATCCATCGACTGTCTCCACCACTTTCACTAAAATGTTCACATCGCTCTGGAACAATGGACCTATTTCCCTCTCAGCCCCCTCGGAGAAGTTAAACCATTCCTTCGTCAGGAAGGAGTATTCCTCCGCCAGGTTTCCAGATGGGAGTTTGGTCTGAAGGAGGTAGGAGGCGGCATGAAGTCTTGCGAGCTCCAGGAAGACCAGTTCGGCATGGGCGGCATCAAGGCCATTTTTACGATCAACCATTTTGAACCCAAGTTGGGTGACGTCCTCCATAATGAGCACCTCAGCATTCTCCTCCAGACTGTGGAAGTTGTACCGAGGAAGTCGTAAAGGCTCTAGGTTGGCAGACTGCAGTTCAGCATTGAGCAATGGCACCAGGATACTGTAGAACAGACACTCTTTCTCAAACATAATGTTATTTAATTCTTTCATGCCATCCACAAATTCTTGCTTAGCTTTCACGACGTATGCCACCTCGAGGTTCTGGCCATCCTGAGAGAAAGACACATTGAGACGCTTCAGAGTGCCCATAAAGTTGTCGCCCTTCTTAGTGAGGTCTTGAGTGGTCCACGAGAGCAGGGTGGCCCCACTGCCCTTGTCCTGCCTCAGAGCTGCCTTCACCTGTGCCTCTGTCAAAGGACTGGATTTCTTTTCCACTTGCGGTTGCGGTCTCTCGAAGTCTTCCAGTTCATCTTGTGCTCCTTTGTCACTCACTGCAAAAGTAAACAAAATAATTTTGTAGTCTTCATATTGAAACTTGGAGGAAATCCAAGAAATGTAGCTCATGCAAGTATGCAAATTTGCATGAGCTACATGCTTAAGTTTTTCAGTCTAAATGATCAAGCTTAATAATGTTAACTACATTAATTTGATAAAATTTAATTGGTCCATCAAATCAAATAACAGATAAGAGGTATAAAGGGAAAGTTATATCTGTGGACAACATTTCACTGTGCACAGAGTTGTCTCAACTCTAAATATACCCACATAGCTGGGTAACTTCCTGAACCCCAACCAACTCTCAACAAGCAGATCATAGTTTAATGTCTGAACTTTCATCCAGTTTTCTGCCTGGGTTCGAACCTTGGGCAAGGATGGACGACTGGGTAATGCAGGCGATGAGTGATAATAACGTGGCTATAGTATGTTGACCAGACCACACACTAGAAGGTGAAGGGACGACGACGTTTCGGTCCGTCCTGGACCATTCTCAAGTCGAATAACTGGGTAATAATGCTTAACTCTTCGCCCCCTGGTCACCCCCTGGTTTAGGAGCTGGTTGTAAACCACTTGGCAGATCGCGTTCCAAGGTAAAACTACCAGGGGTACAGCTTTAGATGAACTACCTCAAGCACAAAGTCTAAGCATACTAACAAGTCAAACTGTAATGATATATTAAGACCTAATCACCACAACTCATGTACACACAGTTTTCCTTAAAGAGGTAACACAAGATGACAACATAAAAATCAATATATATGTGACAACATAATTAAAACCCATTAAAGTTATTGCTGCATATATTGTGGGGTGAATGTGGGTCAAGGCGCGCGGGCCGGGAGCCACACACGTGACTAAACACACATGTGGCTAAACAGATCAAGGGGACGTTAAACACAGCGACTGAATCCTGTTTATTGACGCTAATGGCAACGGTTCTCCGAACTCCGCTCGGTTAATGGTCGTCCTTGTCTCGTGCTGGGAACAGCGGACATGAAGATGTAGCAAGTGTTCCTCCCTTGACCTTGGTGTAGAGAGCGAGGAACGTCCGCTTGATGGATGGCCAGCTTAAAGTGACTGAACATTTCATGCGCTGAAATGAGTGTATTTATTATTAGCCTGGCAGCTAAGCTCATGGCTCGAATGATGTGTGATATAGGTCTAGTTGCATATCTTCTTCTTGAGAATAGGTGCAGTTTGCATGAAGGGTTTACCCTCCCGATGACTGCACCACGACAGATGTAGGGAGACGCGTTGACGTTGAGGAGAAAGTCAAAAGTGGTAGATTTTTTACTTTCTTGATTTTTATGTTCTATATCATCTTGTGTTGCATAGTGTGTTGCATAGTGTGTTGCATAGTGTGTTGCATAGTGTGTTGCATATGCCATAGCTGTTTGTGATGCAAGCCTAGCTGTAATTGTCACAGATCACATGGTTGATTGTGTCCTTATCTTGAGGTTATCATGAGATGTTTTCGGGGCTTAGCGTCACCGCGGCCCGGTCCTCGACCAGGCCTCCTTTTTTTGTTACACACACCCCAGGAAGGAGCCCGTAGCAGCTGTCTAACTCCCAGGTACTTATTTACTGCTAGGTAACAGGGGCATCAGGGTGAAAGCAACTCTGTCTTGCAGACAATGTCGACAGATGCAGCTTCTCGCTCACCACTTACAAAGGACAAAACAGGAACAACATCATAACCTGTTTCTTCCTCCTTTTAACCACTTGGTCTAGACGGTAGAGCGACGGTCTGGCTTCATGCAGGTCGGCGTTCAATCCCCGACCGTCCACAAGTGGGATTGGGTGCTTATAAATAGGAGCTGCCTCGTATGGGCCAATAGGCCTTCTGCAGTTGCCTTTGTTCTTATGTTCTTTATGTTCTTAAGTGGTTGGGCATCATTCCCTACCCCCCTCCCCCCTCCCCCCCCACGGCTCATCCCCAGCCCTTATCCTGACTCCTTCCAAGTGCTGTATAGTCGTAATGGCTTGGCGTTTTCCCTTGATAGTTCCTTCCTTCCTTCCTCTTAAGGATGGCTGTACCAACCTGTCCTCCTTGAAAGAACGTCGCATTTCGCTCGTAGGCTTTACATCAGGCCAAAAATTGTCGTACTTGAAATTGGAAGCGGCTGGCGAAAGTGACGTACTGTCCCGTTTTCTGTTTTGTGTCCTCTGGTAGTTTAGGTAGACTATACGTCAAAAATGCGACGTTCTATAAGGAGGACCGGTTGTATGTACTCGGAGGAGCGAGGTATATACTCACACTTCTGGATGTAAGTGTGTTGAGGTATACACACTTCTAGATGTAAGTGTGTTGAGGTATACACACTTCTGGATGTAAGTGTGTTGAGGTATACACACTTCTGGATGTAAGTGTGTTGAGGTATACACACTTCTGGATGTAAGTGTGTTGAGGTATACACACTTCTGGATGTAAGTGTGTTGATTGCTGCTGCCCTTGAGAGCGCAGGTGAGAACGCTGCTGTTTCTCCGCCTCGTCATCCTAAACGGGTCCAAGGCAGCAAGAAACTGATCGCATAGCACGACATTATTCACTCGTGACCTTCAAGAGGCACTCCGGGGCGGTGAGTGAGTGAGTGCCGCCGCCACAGGCACTCTGGGAGGCCCTGGTCGTGTCCTCTCCCTCACCTCAGTCACCTGTTTGATGCTTCATATTGCTGGTATAATGATTATCATTTATAATGTGATTATCATTATCATCACTGAACCACAAGGGCATTGATGAGGGTTCGAACCTAGGCGTTGGATGCTCCCAGACGCGCTCTAGTCAACTGTACCGCGACATGGTACCATGCCTTGAGGTGCTTCCGGGGCTTAGCGTCCCCGCGGCCCGGTCGCCGACCAGGCCTCCTGGTTGCCGGACTGATCAACCAGGCTGTTGGACGCGGCTGTTGGTATATAAGAATTACAACCTGGAGGGCTGTCTACTGCCCGCAGGTTGGGGGCAGTAGTAGTAGTGAAGTACTACTAGGGAAGTTGTCAGGGGGGAAAACTATTTGGTTGACAGAGCCCGAGTGCATGGGGGGGGGGGAGGAATTATCAAGGGAAAGCGCCAAGCCATTACGACTATATAGCACTGGGAAGGGGTCAGGATAAGAATTTGGGAAGGGACGGGGGGGGGGAAGGAATGGTGCTTCAACCACTTGGACGGTCGGGGGATTGAACGCCGATCTGCATGAAGCGAGACCGTCGCTCTACCGTCCACCCAAAGTGGTTGGGTTGGGGTAGGGGGGGGGGGAATGGTGGAAAACTACAGTGCTGGTATTTCCTCTCTTCTTCTGGATCCTGTAAGGTCATTTCCTATGCTCATGGGTATCCAAGCCTGATGCGGTGGAAATGTACTCGTGTTCTTCTGTGGTTCCCTGTCATCTAAACAAGTGGTTCCCGTCCTGATGTTACAGCCACTGCATAATGGTCACTGTGCATCTTCCGTGTTCCTCTAATAAGGTTCTTATCTATGCTAGACTCTTTGGTTTGTTATGACAATATCCGCATTACTCCTTTTTTTTTTTTTTTTTTTTTGAGATATATACAAGAGTTGTTACATTCTTGTACAGCCACTAGTACGCGTAGCGTTTCGGGCAGGTCCCTGGAATACGATCCCCTGCCGCGAAGAATCGTTGTTACAACCAAGTACACATTTTACTGTTGCGTTAAACAGAGGCTACAGTTAAGGAATTGCGCCCAGTAAATCCTCCCCGGCCAGGATACGAACCCATGACATAGCGCTCGCGGAACGCCAGGCGAGTGTCTTACCACTACACCACGGAGACTGCTAATCAGGCCTTAAGACCACAGTCCTCTTAATTACAGATTTTGCAGCTTCGTCTAACAGTGGCATTTCCTGGTATTCCTTCACGACTTGGCAGCCAGCTCATAAGTATACAATGACCGCGGCATTTGAGCGTTTGCGTTAATGTTATGCACTAATTTTGTCTGAAATCTGCCTCCACCTCCTCTTCCTCTCTCACTTCCTCATGACGTCTATGCTAAGTGAGGACTGATTCGTTGACCAGACCACACACTAGAAGGTGAAGGGACGACGACGTTTCGGTCGACAATCAATTGTCATTCAAAATCGACTTGAGAATGGTCCAGGACGGACCGAAACGTCGTCGTCCCTTCACCTCCTAGTGTGTGGTCTGGTCAACATACTTTAGCCACGTTATTGTGACTCATCGCCTGCATGAGGACTGATTCACTGCCCTACCAAATGTCTGAGCACTCTTAGGCCGGGTGAAATTCACTTCCTTCTAACGAAGGTCGTAAAATAGTTCCCCCAGGTGGGCTCAGGGGGATACTTTATAATATCTACATGAGCTTTGTGGTCAACCTTATCCTGTCAGCCTCAGAACACCGTGTATAAGGTGCCCTTTTGTGGCATTGCCCGCAGGGTATCGCCTCGTCCTTCAGGGCAGGACTTCATGTGACCAGGTCAGTGATACGGCCCTGAAAGAAAGTTATCAGTCACCTGCTGATGGTCCCCGTCCAAGCACCCCACGCTGTGAGTCACGCAGAACTGATGTGTTTATTTCTTCCTAAGACAACCATTATTTGAGCTCATGGTTACTAAGAATTTGATATCTTTCAGAGACTGACGGTCTACGCGTCCAAGTATGCTAGTGGAGGCTGCAGAGCTCCACTTGACCTCGGCCACCTCCCTCCACCTGACCTTGACCGCTTGGCAACTTGGTTGACCTACAGTCAGCCCACCTGCCTACCCATCCTCGCCCGGCTGGTAGGCTGGCAACACCACACAAACAAGCGTATATACTATAAGGGTGATATGCCAATAACATATTCGTCTTCCAAGAAGGGATTAATATTCATGAACGCGCTCATAATTATCACTCGCTCCTTGCGTGTATTTTTCTTTGTATCTGAAGTTTCCTTAAGACCACTGTCTCCCTAGTGACCTTGACGGGGGCAGGAAGTCGGCAGTTTGTCTCTATTTTTCCTGCGTAATTCTTCTATCAGGATTTTAAGCTGATTCAGACCCATATCTATCTATCCAAAGCTTCAATCCAGGGACCTCACAACAATGGTAACACTATTCAAATCACTGGTGCTGTCCGGTCCTGAGTATTGATCGGTACAAGTATCGGTACTCCAGGTAACCTCAAGGTAAGGTACTCACTTCACCTTTCAGAGCGAGTGAGATCTCCCAATTAGAGGGAATACAGAGAGCATATACGGCTCGCATAGAAACGATAAAACATCAGAATTATTGGGACCGTCTCAAAGCTCTCAAAATGTACTCTCTGGAAAGGAGTAGAGAAAGGTATCAAATAATATAAAGATGGAAGACACTGGAAGACCAGGTCCCAAATTTGCACATAGAATAACAACATACTGGAGCGAAAGATACGGGAGGAAAAGCAGAATAAAGGAGTAAAGGTGCCACAGGCACAGTCAGGGAGCACTGACTTAACATCAGAGGTCGACAGCTGTTCAACACCCTCCCAGCGAGCACTAGAAAGATTACCGGAACGAAGGTGGAGGTATTCAAGAGGCACTTGGACAGGTTCTTGTAAGACGTGCCGGACCAACCAGGCTGAGGTGGATATATGGGGGCCTTCGGGCTGCTCCAAGCAACAGCCTGTTGGACCAAGTTATCACAAGTCGAGCCTGGCCTCAGGCCGGGCTCGGGGAGTAGAAGAACTCCCGAAACCCGCTCCAGGTATGTTCCAGGTAAGGCCAGATTTGACAAACCTTTGACAAAAAAAGGAAGGGTAGTAGGCGGGGCACAAGCTATAGTCCTCACTTTCCCGTAGTCACTGATAGGTAAGTACTTTTATGTGTGCCAGACTACGTTGAGATGACGTTCACGTATGGTAGCCGGTGTGGCCCCCCTGGCACTCTGGCCGGTGTGGCCCCCCCTGGCACTCTGGCCGGTGTGGCCCCCCCTGGCACTCTGGCCGGTGTGGCCCCCCCTGGCACTCTGGCCGGTGTGGCCCCCCCTGGCACTCTGGCCGGTGTGGCCCCCCCTGGCACTCTGGCCGGTGTGGCCCCCTGGCACTCTGGCCGGTGTGGCCCCCCCTGGCACTCTGGCCGGTGTGGCCCCCCCTGGCACTCTGGCCGGTATGGCCCCCCCTGGCACTCTGGCCGGTGTGGCCCCCTGGCACTCTGGCCGGTGTGGCCCCCCCTGGCACTCTGGCCGGTGTGGCCCCCCTGGCACTCTGGCCGGTGTGGCCCCCCCTGGCACTCTGGCCGGTGTGGCCCCCCCTGGCACTCTGGCCGGTGTGGCCCCCCCTGGCACTCTGGCCGGTGTGGCCCCCCCTGGCACTCTGGCCGGTGTGGCCCCCTGGCACTCTGGCCGGTGTGGCCCCCCCTGGCACTCTGGCCGGTGTGGCCCCCCTGGCACTCTGGCCGGTGTGGCCCCCCCTGGCACTCTGGCCGGTGTGGCCCCCCTGGCACTCTGGCCGGTGTGGCCCCCCCTGGCACTCTGGCCGGTGTGGCCCCCTGGCACTCTGGCCGGTGTGGCCCCCCCTGGCACTCTGGCCGGTGTGGCCCCCCCTGGCACTCTGGCCGGTGTGGCCCCCCTGGCACTCTGGCCGGTGTGGCCCCCTGGCACACTGGCCGGTGTGGCCCCCCCTGGCACTCTGGCCGGTGTGGCCCCCCTGGCACTCTGGCCGGTGTGGCCCCCCCTGGCACTCTGGCCGGTGTGGCCCCCCTGGCACTCTGGCCGGTGTGGCCCCCCCTGGCACTCTGGCCGGTGTGGCCCCTGGCACTCTGGCCGGTGTGGCCCCCCCTGGCACTCTGGCCGGTGTGGCCCCCCTGGCACTCTGGCCGGTGTGGCCCCCCCTGGCACTCTGGCCGGTGTGGCCCCCTGGCACTCTGGCCGGTGTGGCCCCCCTGGCACTCTGGCCGGTGTGGCCCCCCCTGGCACTCTGGCCGGTGTGGCCCCCCCTGGCACTCTGGCCGGTGTGGCCCCCCCCCTGGCACTCTGGCCGGTGTGGCCCCCCCTGGCACTCTGGCCGGTGTGGCCCCCCCTGGCACTCTGGCCGGTGTGGCCCCCCCTGGCACTCTGGCCGGCGTGGCCCCCCTGGCACTCTGGCCGGTGTGGCCCCCTGGCACTCTGGTGGGCGTAGTTGATGACCCTGGCACTCTGGCCGGTGTGGCCCCCCCTGGCACTCTGGCCGGTGTGGCCCCCCCTGGCACTCTGGCCGGTGTGGCCCCCCTGGCACTCTGGCCGGTGTGGTCTCCCCTGGCACTCTGGTGGGGCGTGGTTGATGACCCTGGCACTCTGGTGGGGCGTGGTTGATGACCCTGGCACTCTGGTGGGGCGTGGTTGATGACCCTGGCACTCTGGTGGGGCGTGGTTGATGACCCTGGCACTCTGGTGGGGCGTGGTTGATGACCCTGGCACTCTGGTGGGGCGTGGTTGATGACCCTGGCACTCTGGTGGGGCGTGGTTGATGACCCTGGCACTCTGGTGGGGCGTGGTTGATGACCCTGGCACTCTGGTGGGGCGTGGTTGATGACCCTGGCACTCTGGTGGGCGTGGTTGATGACCCTGGCACTCTGGTGGGGCGTGGTTGATGACCCTGGCACTCTGGTGGGCGTGGTTGATGACCCTGGCACTCTGGTGGGGCGTGGTTGATGACCCTGGCACTCTGGTGGGCGTGGTTGATGACCCTGGCACTCTGGCGGGCGTGGTTGATGACCCTGGCACTCTGTGGCGGGCGTGGTTGATGACCCTGGCACTCTGGTGGGGCGTGGTTGATGACCCTGGCACTCTGGTGGGCGTGGTTGATGACCCTGGCACTCTGGTGGGCGTGGTTGATGACCCTGGCACTCTGGCGGGCGTGGTTGATGACCCTGGCACTCTGGCCGGTCATCAACCACACCGGCCCACACAGTAAGTAGCTAATACCTTTCAGTTCTGGGACCAGTCTGGTGACACCTCTGAATCTTCTCTAACTCTGTCTAGTGTTTAACTAGGTATGAACTCCAGGCTGGAGTTGCATACTTCAGGATTGGTCTGACATAAGTGGTAGACAAGGACCTGACCGATTCCTTACACAAGTTTCTAAATTCAATTCTGATGTTGGTCAATCTATCACATGCCGCTGATGAGTGAGATGATTTACCATCCTTGCTTCATCTGTTCAGACAGGATGAGTAATCGTATCAGAGACAGCTGTTTAGTGTTCCCAGAAGATAAGGGGTTTCTCTTATCTGTTTTTCCCGTAAACTTTCTGCTCAAATGTGTTCTAATTAGATGCTCAGTCGATTGTGAATATTTCATGATATATCCCTTTTAAAGCAGCGCCTGAAGGAACCTGCCTGAAAGTATCAGCTACGGTCTTGAAACTGATGCTGGACCTCATAGTAACATTGACCACACATAATTTAATTTAAATTTTATTGTGTAAATAGATAAATATTATTGTGTAAATAGATATACAAATAAATATCCCTAACAAATTTAATTATGTTGTCGAAAAGGCTCATCAATTAACAAATCATTCCACTGGAGTTACTGCCTTAAAATTAACTCTTAGATGAAGATGCCGTCTTAAGTAAAAGATCACTGCAAGAAAGTGACTTGAGAAAGGTGCTATTGGAGCGTAAATTTTATGCAACCAAATACCAACATTTACACGACGTTGCCGTGGCAAATATATAAAAAACTAGTTTAAAAGAACTCATGAAACTTTTAGTATGGGCTCTCTGGGGCAACAACATGACTTACTGTTTGTCACAGATGTTGGAGATGTGCGCTGGCCGGCCACTGTGTGTGTGGTACTGTGTAGTGTGGCGCCCGCCCTGCCTGACCCTGCCTTAATTCCTCTAGTCCGACACAAACAAGGGAGACAGAACTCGTACTGCCAGCCAAGTGTCTATGAAAAGTTCATTCTGACCAGAGGAATTCAGTCGTGGTTCGAGGGGGGGGGGGCCCTGTGTGCGAGCGTGCGCGTGGTTTGCGCTTACTGGGTGTTAGAGGAACATGAGAGGCAATTATGGCAGCGTGCCATCTGGTGGAGAGGCAGTGCACTGCTGTACCCCAACCAGCCGAGAATATTATTACAGCTCCAGCGATACCTAAACAATCACTCTTTTTATTAATTAACCCCCCTTGGACCTAGGTAACGATAACACTAAATTATGCTCTTATTTAAAGTGTTCAATAATATCTATTAGAACGGCCACGTCTAAACTGTCAAGTGTTTATAGTGAAATATGTAGCGGCCTTAGGTAAGGAGACGGTAGATCCTCAAGTTGATGCCGTGACAGTTTCCCGCGCGGCCAGACTCCGATGTTATGGCGCCAAAAACACCTGTAACTCTATGAACAGAACACTTATATATCCTTAGATACAAAAAAAAGCAGGGCGTGAATTCGGGGAAAAAAAAGAATTCAAATAGATTCAAGACGATATCTAGATTGTGTTTTAAAATATACGAAAGATTGGGAGTTGCAGCCTAGTGCTGAAAAAGGCTGGCTTCTGAACATTGGTAACGATGATAGTTGCCAGATATCAGCTGGTCAGTGACGAAATTTCAGGTTGTTGACCGCCCACAAGACAACCCGTTCTCAGACCAAGTCCATTCCATCCAGCGGTCAACCCCAAAGACGCATTCATCAATGTTAACATGCTGTCCATTCAAAACAGAACTTTTCTCAAATATAAATTAATTTTATTATGTATTAGCATATTGTCTATATTTAGGCATTGGTTAAGTTAGGTTAGGTGTTTAGGTTCCGTTGCCGGTTATTTGTAATTGTAGTACGTGGGTGAAGCATTTCAACCCGTCCTCGACTCAAGTCCATTACATCCAGCGGTCGACCCCACAGACGCATTCATAAATTTTAACATGCTGTTCATTCAAAACGCGAATTTTCTCAAATATAAATTAATATTATAATATATTAGCATATTGTGCATATATAGGCATAGGTTAGGTTAGGTGTTTAGGTTCTGTTGGCGATTATTTGTATTTGTAGTACGTGGGTGAAGCATTTACAGCGTTGTGGTTTGAACAAAATTCGTCAGTGAAGCACTTGTTCCGGAAGTGTTCGAACGTCATCAGTTGTGAGTCGTGTGTAAACCGTTTTTTCATTCATAAACAGCTGGGGTTTGGCGGGTGCATGGAATGGACTTTGACCTTTTGTTTGGAGGACGGGCTGGGTCCGGGAAATAATGATTTTTTAGAGTTGTGTTAATAATTAACGGAAACCTCTATACAATATCGCGTATAATGAGTTTATTAAGCCTTATAATGTGGTACATAAGTTATGGAGACCCTTTACTGTGTGAATGAGTTTGGGTGAATAGAAGCGGCCTTGCGTGGACCAATAGGCCTTCTGTAGTTTCATTTAATCCTTTGTTCACGTGAGAACAATGACAATTAATATCCCAGTCTCTGGGGGGGGGACTATCAGGAGAAAGCGCCAAGTCAGTCAATATAACTATATAGCACTTGGAAGGGGTCAGGATAAGGATATGGGATAGGACGGGGATAAGGAGTGGTACCTAACCAGTTGGACGGCCGGGGATTGAACGCCGACCTGCATGAAACGAAAACGGTACACCGTCGCTCTACTGTTTGCTCTAGGTGCGGGGGGGGGGGAATTGAAATATATATTTTTGAGCCCCAAGCGTAAGTCAAACGGCATATTCTCTTGGGTCTTGTGACTCGACTCATCACTTGAGTGTCCTGTGGCAGTGAAAACGTTAGGCTTCGTGTGCTGTACCTAACTAATAGTTCTTGTACAACAGTGGCTACGGGGACGTGAGGTGTAGTACACCTGGCCCAGCAAGGCTGACCATATATGCTGGCTTGTTGTACCGTCTGCGTTGTAATGCGACTTTCCTGACATTCGAAAACTGTTGAATCTGACCTTGAAGTTCTATTCGTATATTCCGGATACGAGTATTTCCTTACATTCCTTCGGTTCGTTCGCCTGTGCTTGACGGCTGGTAAGGCTGGTAAGGCCTCCGTTTTGTAATAATAGAATGGAAGGATGAACCAGTTATGTGTTCCAGGCTTGGGAAAAAAATCCACATCGGTATCCCTTAGGTGGATATAATGGTCCCGACCGCCTCCACCTACCTGCCTCTCGTCTCCACATTATCCAATCCTGCTGCTCCTTCTCCTCTTCCCTCTTCTCCTCATCCTCTTCCTTGTCGTCGCCCTCCTCCTCCTCCTCTGTCGTCCTGACAACCACTGGGCCACTAGCCAGCGAAACCATTAAGTAATTTTTTAGTGGAGGGGAGGAGTTGAACAAGGGGGTGCATGGGGGGCAGCCTCACCTTGAAACGGCCTGGTGGCGAGGCCATATATGCCGGCGAGGCTCCCCCAGCCTCCCTGCCCTGCCTCGCCTTCCATACCGCGCCTCTCCTCTCACACAAGGCCACACAACACACACTGGATTTCCACGGCATCTCTACAAGGTTATCACAGTAACTCTACAAGGTCTACAGGCCACCTCTATAAGCAACTACACAAGCCTCTGTAGGCTTTTTAGTGTCAGAGTGGTTGACAAATGGAATGCATTAGGAAGTGATGTGGTGGAGGCTGACTCCATACACAGTTTCAAGTGTAGATATGATAGAGCCCAATAGGCTCAGGAATCTGTACACCTGTTGATTGACGGTTGAGAGACGGGACCAAAGAGCCAGAGCTCAACCCCCGCAAACACAACTAGGTGAGTTTGCAAGTTTGCAAGTTTGCAAGTTTGATAATAAAAATAATGACACCAAAAATTTGCATACCGGAAGGAAAATTATGGTGAGAAGCTCCCTAGTAGGCAAGAAACTCTGGGAAACAAATCTCAGAGAAAAGACTGTAGAAGATGTACTACATCACAGAGATGAGACTGGAGGCTGCAGACAAGTTTATCTCGGCACACAAAGGGAACAAAAATATGAAAGAAAATGAGGGATCCGTTTTTAAATTAAACAAGTAAGTAAGCAAGGCAATCACGTACAAAGACACGGAGAAACTACAGAAATAACGGAACATCAGAATGCAAGATGATATACCAGAGAGCCAGGACTGAGTACCTCAGTGTGAGGAGAGAAGAGGATGAACCTGAGGAAAGGGGAGGACAGATACTCAGAGAATGACACGGAGGTGTGTGTGTATAACTCTATAAGAGATTCACGGCCTTCGCAATAGAGCAAGGAAAAATACATCTTGGGAAGAATTTGAAATTACCGGAGATGAGGTTAAGAGACATCTGTTGGAACTGGACGTGACAAAGGCTGTTTGACCCGGTAGAATCACTCCATGGATAAAGAGAGTGCAGAAGCATTATGTTGCCACCTCTAAACTGTACAATAAGTCGCTGGAAACAGGAAGCCTACCAGAAAATTGGAAGACAGCTACCATAGTCCCAATATTTACAAACAAAAAATTGACAGGCAGGAGGCACTGAACTAAATGCCGGTGTCCTTAACTTGTGTACCGTGCAAAGGTGATGGAGAAAATCGCGAGAAAAATGCTAGTAGCACATCTGGAGAGAAGGGACTTTGTAACACACCACCAACAAAGGAGTCAGAAATGGTAAATCGTGCATAGCAGGCTTAAATGAATTCTATGACCTGGTGAAAACAATTAGGCAAGAAAGAGAAGGGTGGACAGACTGTATTTTCCTGGACTGGCAGAAAGCCTTTGACACATTACACCATTAGAGGCTAGTGCAGAAGCTGCAGAAATAGGTAAAGTATCAAGAACACACGAGTATCAAGAACACACGAGTATCAAGAACACACGAGTATCAAGAACACACGAGTATCAAGAACACACGAGTATCAAGAACACACGAGTATCAAGAACACACGAGTATCAAGAACACACGAGTATCAAGAACACACGAGTATCAAGAACACACGAGTATCAAGAACACACGAGTATCAAGAACACACGAGTATCAAGAACACACGAGTATCAAGAACACACGAGTATCAAGAACACACGAGTATCAAGAACACACGAGTATCTAGAACACACGAGTATCAAGAACACACGAGTATCAAGAACACACGAGTATCAAGAACACACGAGGGCAAACACCAGTAATGTCTTAGGCAATGTTCGAGGGGGGGGGGGTCTAGGGACGAGGTTCAGCTGATAATTATCAGAAGTTTCCTTTAATAAATATCGGGTGAGCTTTGTGCTTTTATTTGATTATGTATGTATGGAAAATTAAATTTGTGCCCCGAAGGGCGAGTTTATTGGGCCGCGTCACTCATCCTGTGAGTGGACACACCGCCATAGTGACAGTATTGGGCAGCGCCACTCATCCTGTGAGTGGACACACCGCCATAGTGACAGTATTGGGCAGCGCCACTCATCCTGTGAGTGGACACACCGCCATAGTGACAGTATTGGGCAGCGCCACTCATCCTGTGAGTGGACACACCGCCATAGTGACAGTATTGGGCAGCGCCACTCATCCTGTGAGTGGACACACCGCCATAGTGACAGTATTGGGCAGCGCCACTCATCCTGTGAGTGGACACACCGCCATAGTGACAGTATTGGGCAGCGCCACTCATCCTGTGAGTGGACACACCGCCATAGTGACAGTATTGGGCAGCGCCACTCATCCTGTGAGTGGACACACCGCCATAGTGACAGTATTGGGCAGCGCCACTCATCCTGTGAGTGGACACACCGCCATAGTGACAGTATTGGGCAGCGTCACTCATCCTGTGAGTGGACACACCGCCATAGTGACAGTATTGGGCAGCGCCACTCATCCTGTGAGTGGACACACCGCCATAGTGACAGTATTGGGCCGCGTCACTCATCTTGTGAGTGGACATACCGCCATAGTGACAGTATTGGGCAGCGCCACTCATCCTGTGAGTGGACACACCGCCATAGTGACAGTATTGGGCAGCGCCACTCATCCTGTGAGTGGACACACCGCCATAGTGACAGTATTGGGCAGCGCCACTCATCCTGTGAGTGGACATACCGCCATAGTGACAGTATTGGGCAGCGCCACTCATCCTGTGAGTGGAC